AACACTTAGTAATACTTATAAAGATACTATAATACTGTGACAGTAATACTTATAAAGATACTCTAATACTGTAACACTTAGTATTACTTATAAAGGTACTATAATACTCTAACACTTAGTAATACTTATAAAGATACTATAATACTATAACACTTAGTAATACTTATAAAGATATAAGTAATTTATGCACCATCATTACATAAAGGTTAAAAAACCCAAACATCATAGCTACAATAATTTAAAAGATACATCATGTAAAGATTGCATACGAAGATATGTAAGTTGTGATATGAAACATTCAACATGTGAAGGGGGAGGGAAGTATTGATAAAAATAGAGGTTTGTGTGTGTTCAAAGTTAAATTATTATTAGCCTAATCCTGTTATGCATATTTAAAAAAAACTTCAAAGTAACCACAAGTATAGTAAAAGTCTATAGTAGAGTCACAACAAGAAAGGTAATAAATCACAATCACACTAGAGAAGATCATTTAGCCATAAAGGAGGGTGGAAGGAGAGGAGAAAAGACACAAAGGGTCTACAAAACAACTAGAAAACATTTAGCAGAATGGCAGTAGTATGTTCTTACCTATCCATAATTACCTTAAATGTAAATGAGCTAACTTCTCCAACTAAAGACAGAGTGACTGAATAAATTTTTTAAAAAGCCAATTATATGCTGTCTACAAGAGACTCCATTCACCTGTAAGGACATGCATAGATTAAAAGTGAAGGGACAGAGATCAAAGACTAGGAGTAGCTATAGGTATAGTAGATAAAATAGACTTTAAGACAAAAGCTGTAAAAGAGAGACAAAGGTTATTATGTAATGATAAAGGGGTCAATTCAGCAAGAGGATATAAAAATTGCAAATATATATGTACCTGACATTGGGGCACCTGACACATAAAAGGAAATGTTGATAAACCTTACAGGAGAGATAGAATGCAATATGGTAACACTTGGGGATTTCAACATCTCTCCCTTTCAGAAGCGGACAGATCATCTAAATAGAAAATTACTAAGGAAACATCACTTAAACTATACTTTGAAGCAAATGACTCCAACAGACATACATAGAATATGTCCTCTAACGGCTACAGAATCTATATTCTTTTCAAGTGTAAATGGAATATTATAGCCGATATATTATATATGAAGCCAAAAAACAAGTCTTAACAAATTTAAGAAGATTGAAACCACATCAAATATCGTTTTCTGGCTACAGTGCTGTAAAACCAGAAATCAATAATAGAAGGGACTTTGGAAAATTTACAAGTACATAAAAAATAATCAATATGCTCATAAATGACTAATGGGTCAATGAAGAAATGAAAAGAATTAAAACATTTCATGAAATGAACGAAAATCGAAACTTATCAAACCTATAGGGCACAGTAAGAGAAGTTTCAAGCAGGAAATTTATAGCAGTAAGTGCCTACATCATAATAGAAGTGAGATCTCCAACAGCCTAATGTGGCACCTCAAGGGAATAGAAAAACAAACAACTAAGCCCAAAGTTAGTAGAAGGAAGGGAATAATAAAGATCAGAGTAGAAACAGAGATGGAAAAACAACAGAAAAGAGCAATAACATTAAGAGTGAATTGTTTGAAGAGGTAAACAAAATGGACAAATTTTTAGCAAGCTTACTAAGACATAAGAGGGAAGAGTCAAACTAAGAAATGACAAAGGAGACATCAGAGCTGATACAACAGAAATACGCAGGATCCTAGGAGACGACATAGCATAATGAATAATTATACGCCAACAAACTGGACAACTCAGAGGAAACAGAAGTAAATTCCTCGACACATACAACCTACTGAAGTGTGAAGAAACAGAAGATCTTAACAGGCGGAGTTTGCATAAGGAGGTTGAATTAGTAATAAAAATTCTCTCACCAAATAAAAGAGCTGATTTCTTCACTGGCAATTTCTATAAAATATGTAAAGAAGAACCAATAACATTTCTGCTGGAACTCTTCCAAAAAAATCAAAGAAGAAGGAATACTTGGAATTCAATAGCACAATAAAAAGACCAGTCACCATCATCAAGTGGGATTTATCCCAGAAATGCGAGGATGTTCGAAGTATATTTACCAATAAATGTGATATGTCATATTAACAGAATGAAAGGAAAAAAATCATATAGTCACTTCAATAGGTGCAGAAAAAGTGTTCAACAAAATCCAACTTCCAATAACGGCCATACATGACAAACCCACAGCTAACATCGTACTCAATAGAGAAAAGTGGAATGGCTTTTCTCTAAGATCTGAATAAGACGAGAATTCCTGTTCTCAACACTTCTATTCAAACTTGAGGTGCTTGCTAAAGCAATTGGAGAAGGTAAATAAACACCTCCTAATTAGAAAACAAAAAGTGTGTTTGATGATGACATGATCATATAGGGAGGGTGCCACAAAAAGTATACACTTTAATAGAGGAAAACATCTGTACTAAAATTGTAATACTTAATATGTCCTGATAACATTTGTGATCTTGTATGTTTTATCTTGTATGTCTTGTAATTGAAGAAGTCAAAGGTGATGAGAGTATTACAATGTAAATACAGATTTTTCCTTTCTTAAAAATCATGTACATTTTTGGCACCCTCTGTGCCATTTTTGCCACACCCTGTGGTATCTGTACATAGACAAACCTACAGATACCATATAAAAACTGTTAGAACTAATAAAGGAATTTAGTAAAGCTGCATACAATAAACATACAAAAATCCAGAAGAGTTTTTAGATGCTAATAGTGAACTATCTGAAAAAATCAAGGTACCATCGCCATTTATAGTAGCTAACAGAAAAAAAAAAAAGATACTTAGGAATAAATTTAACCAAGGGTTATACCCCAAACTGTACAACATAGATGAAAGAAATTGGAGAAGATACAAATAAATAGAAAGGTAGCTCTTGTTCGTGAATTGAGAGAATTAATATTGTTAAAGTACCCATATCCTCCAAAGTGACCTATAGGCTTGATACAATCTTTATCAATATACAAATTAAATTCATCACAGAAATAGAAAAAAATTCTAAAATTTGTATGGAACCACATAAATCCATGAATAGTCGAAGCAAATTTGAAAATAATGCCTGGATGCCTCACACTTCAGAATATACTAGAAAGCTGTAGTTAGTAGCACCAGCATGGTCCTGGCATACATCAGACTGACAGGCCAAGGGAACAGAATTTAGTGCCTCCAAATAAATCCACTTTTAACCTAAAAGTCCATCAATGGATGGACTAGATAAAGAAAATGTGGTGTATGTACACAGTGGGATATCATTTGGCTATAGAAAATAAATCCTATTGTATGCAACACAAATTAACCTAGAGGACACAATGTTATTTGAAATGAGCCAGGCAGGGAATAATGAACATTGGAGGAGTGTATTCATATGTGGAATCTAAAAAAACTGATACCAGGGTGGCCCTGGTATCAAGGAGTAGGGCGCCAGCCCCATATGCCGGAGGTAGCGGGTTCAAGCCCAGCCCCGGCCAAAAACTATATAAAAAAAAGCTGATACCATGGGTGCAGAGAGCAGAATTGTGGTTACCAGTGGCTGAGGTGGTTGGAATGAAAGGGGGTAGATTTTGTTCCCAAAACATAAAATATCAGAAGGAATAAGTTGAAGAAATCCATTATACAACATGATGACTATCTTAACAGATCTGTACTGTAGTCTTGAAAAATGTTAATAGAGTGAATGTCAAATGTTCTCACCACAAAATGAGAACTACGTGAAGAGAGTAGTTTGAGAACTACTTCAAACATCATGGTCCACACTGTAAGTACATCTCATTTAAGCTGTTAATGTAGAAATAAAATTAAAACCATTAAATGTCACTGAGTGACTTAGTGCTACACTTATTCAAATAAGCTTAGGGGACCAGTTTTCTGTAATAACAAAGAAAAATTTTAATAACTGCGAAATGTTTTAAAATGTAGACAGATAAGTGGAAGCAAATAAAACTTGAGATATTGGGAAAGTAAATGCTAGCTTTTGTTTATTTCTTTGCAATAAAATAATTTCATAAATACAAAACCAAAACACCTACAGTACACCCCTAAACGTTAATATACTTGAGAAAAAAATATACTGAAGATGACAAAAAAGACATTAAATATAAGATACAGATGTGTTTATGAACTGGGTCTTCATGTATAAGGTATATTTAAAGACATTAATATTGTTCTATTCATAAGACTTTTTTAAAATATTGGAATACTACCATTCCAATAATAAAAAACTAAGCATAAACTTACAGTGTGTGAAGAGGATCTCTGCTTTGAGCTCTACTTTCTTTCTAAGGCTGATGTGATTTTCAGCTGTTTATTTTCACTCAAGGTATCATAAGGAATACTCACGTGGAATTTTATGCAACTCATTCATGAACTTCTCCTTCAGCTTAGAAAAGGCATCTTCCTTCCCTTCTCCAGGACTGGCCGGCTCCGTGGCGTTATGTGGTAGGACCGTCGCAACGGTGGTGACTGGCGGGGCTGCCAGGGCCTCATGATGACTCTCGCTCACCATTTTAGGTTCAGGTGAAACTGTGAGGGGACAGAAGCAAAGAAAGAACAATTCAAAATGGCTTAACTGAACCCACATTAAAGGATAAGTAGAGATGAAAGAACATCAGAGGTCGCACCTGCTCACAGGGTAAACAGCCTGTCATTAGCATATTACTTTGTGCTGGTTCATGAAATATGTATGGAACCACGGTGAGTGGAGAGTTCTGCCCCAGAAGGGAAGACTGAATAGCATTTCCTCCCAACAAACACTGTGTAACTGTCAAATCTATTAGTTATTTATACAGCCAGTTATTTGCTGTGTAGACTTAACTCTAACCCATATCTTACTGAAACGCTATGAAATAGCACACACATGCTCTTTATGCTGAGCATTTTGTATTTTCTAAAAGAAAAAAGTGATAAAATATCTGTATTAGAAATGTTGATAAATGATAGCATACAGTTAAAATGTTAGAGACTGAAAATGGTTCTAACATTGATACTCTAAAATGCCATGAATGTTACACAGAAATTGGCTCTTGACTCTTATCTATTGATGGTAAGTTTTCCTCCCACTTCTTTGACATTTATGGTAGACAATACTCTGATCAATAATTCACTTGTCTTGCTGGGTGATTTTTTAGGCACTGTAAATATGGCATGTTTGACTGTATTTATCTTCTCTTTTTTTCTTTCCTTTTTTTCTTCTTCTTTCTTTCTTTTCTTTCCCTCTCTCTGCCTCCCAAGTAGCTGAGACTACAGGCATCCACCATCACACCTGAGAAAGACTATTCTTTCTCTTTTTTGTAGAGACAGGGTTTTTGCTCAGGCTGGTCTTGAACTCCTGGTCTCAAGTGATCCTTCACCTCACTCTGTCAAAGTGTAAGAATTATAGGTGTGAGCCACCACACTTGGCCTCAGGATCTTCTTTGTAGTTCCTTCATTTGTAAACTGAGGATAAGCAGATCAAATATATAAGGTTTGTATGAGTATTAAATGAGATAATCTATGCCAGGAACTTAGTGTAGTTTCTGGCACATAGTTTGTTCCATCTGTAGACTTGATCCATCTGTCCATCCGTCCACCGTCTGTCCATCAGTCCATCCATCCACCCACCCATACCTCCATCTATCCATCTGTCCATCCATCCATCCATCCATCCATCCATCCACCATCTGTCCGTCAGTCCATCCATCCATCCATCCATCCGTCCATCCAGCCATCCATCCACCATCTGTCTGTCAGTCCATCCATCCACCCACTCATCCATCCATCCATCCATCCACCATCTGTCCATCAGTTTATCCATCCACCCACCTATACCTCTGTCCATCCATCCATCCTACCCACCCATTCCTCCTTCCATCTACCCATGCCTCCATCTTTCCATCTCAAAGAGCACTTGGAAGCACAGAAATTTTCAGAATGTAGAAACAGTCTACTTTTTTCAACTCAAGTTCACTTCCCAGAAGGTTTTTGTGATTTTCTGATTTTGTTTCACTTAGGAGCTTGTCTCCTTGCAAAACTTTGAAGTCCTATTTGCAATATTGGCACATCTTGGGTGACGCCATTGGTATTGGTGATGCCATAACTTTTGTATTTTTTTTGTATTTTAATATTTTTCATGACGTTTGTATTTCATTGTGTCAACCACGCTAACATTATACACACACATATATAAGAAATGTCAGCATATATAATCAACAAATGAATTTGTTCCTCTGCTGTGAGAATCACCAGATCTGATACACATCATTACTGATCTCTGTAGGGTAGTTAAATATATTTGAGGAATTATGGTTTACTGTGGGATTTAAAGGACAAGACTGAGTTAAACAAAGCAGCTAAATACAGTATTGCCCCATTTACACTAAAGGCATTTTGTCTAATTGAGTTTCCCCTTACTTTTTGTCCCGTTCTGGAAGGAGGCGACTGTTGTTCATTCAGATACACATTCAGCTGCTACCTGCAGTGGTCACCCAGTTTTTTTCTAATATTTGTGTGTGTAGGTGAATGTGTTCTCTGCCATTGCAGTTAAATATTTTTCATATTACTCTAGCTTACTATGGAAGATGAGATATTTCTACCTATAATTTGAGTAATATGAAAGACTATAGGAACATTAAGACTGTTAAACAAGGCCAAAATTTAGAAAATGTTCTTGATATTAATTTTTTTATGAAGAACATTTCTGCTATTTACAGAACAATCCTCTTTAGACACAACATATCTTTGATCAGGAAAATAGCAATAAGCTTTTAACTCTTATCTGTCAATGCTACTCTACAATATCTGATTATTTTTAATGAAAAAAGGATAGTAATATAGACAAGTGTATTTTTACCTAGTGCATACCACTGTAAAATTTTAGAAAAATATTTCATAGAATATGAAAATATAACGGGTAATTGAATATCTAATGTAGTGACAAAGGAAGACATTGATTTCTTAATTTTTTTATTCCTTCAAATCTTGAGATATACACTGTTTGAAAATCCTATAACTAGCAGTAGTTAATTGGTTATTGAAATTATATATATACATATATATATATATATACACACATATATATATATTTTTGGCTGGGGCTGGGTTTGAACCCTCCACCTCCAGCATATGGGGCTGGTGCCCTACTCCTTTGAGCCACAGGCACCGCCCTGAAATTTCATATTTATACAAGTGAAATGTTTCTCAGGAAGCATCATTTTAGGGGTGGGAGCACTGGCCCATTATTCAGTCCTGGCTACTATGATGACTTTATGTTTTTTTACGTAATTAGCAAATGTGGCATTGTTTGCTTGTTCAGGAAAAGAACATGTTCTACTCAAGTCTTTACAAAATGACAGCTCACAGTTGTTGAGCATCTGATAAGGGGTGTAGATGTCTCAAAGCGTGTGGTAGTTCTCATATGACTGTCATGAGAGTTGTACAGCAGTCACCCATTACGTAGGTGAGAAAATAAAGGAATAGGAGGGTTATGCAATTGGGTCAAAGTCATAAAGTAATTAGTGGAGTTAGGATTTGAACCTACATGTCTTAGCCACTATAACAGTAAGAGATTTGCAAAACCATGAGACCAGTATCAAATAAAATCATATATTTTTAAGAAGTGTTTAAACTTACCCATAGTAAGTTTATTTTACGTTGTGATCCAGTATACATACTCTCTCAGCCCGTCTTCTATATTTGTTTTGGTATATAGGTTTATTTTACGCCGTGATCCAGTATACATACTCTATCAGCCCGTCTTCTATATTTGTTTTACATGAACAGAAGTTTCATGTAAAAAACTCACCCTTATTGTGTGTGACACACTCTGATACATTCAGTTCTACTTTGTGTTTTTTACCAAAATATTTCACTTGTTCACCAACATTGCACACAGGAGTTTCACAACCCACTAATGGTTTGAGAACTGTAGTTTGAAAAACCACTGCAATGAAGGACATGTTAGGGTACAGTAAAACTAAACGAGGCTAATGGTAACCAAAGACACTATTGGTAAGGCACCTACTATGTGTTGAAACACTGCCATTGTATTGAAGTATAATATTCTAAATTCTCACTAAAACCCTGAAAAGTAACTCAGTCTTATTTTACAGAAGAAACTGGGCTGTGGCTCTCCAAGGGCTAAGTGATCTGTGCTCCACGGATTTGGCTTGATCTAAGATGCCTTGTGTTGGTCTACTCCAACTATTGATGAGTACTATGGAACAATTAAATTAGTCACGCGGAAGTATTTGTAATTTTCTCTCGAATCTATTTACTAGTAAAGGAAAATACAAGTCATCCTACTAACAAGAAACATTTTACTTAATTTTAGAGGCATAGTTATTTAGTTTGTTAAAGTGGAATTCAGCATCCTATAATAAATTCTCTTCTACAGTGAAATTCAGCACAGTGGGTGTGAACTAGCAATTTCCAAAGAAAGAAATAGAAACCCCCCTCCTTCATCATTAAAGCGAAAAAAAAAAACATAAAGTGTTTAATTTCACAAATAGTCAAAAAACGGGGAATTAAAATAACAAATAACATTCATTTATGAAACTGGCTAAATATAGACAGTGAAGGTGAGAGTACAGGGAGCAGAACGACAGGAAGAAGAATCAATTGGAAAAATACTGTACAGATGCCCCAGAATAGAACCTATCAGAAGCTTCCAAAGAACTCGTCCCTCTCCTAGGAATTGTCTATAAACAGTTGATCTTCGGTGGATGTACAATTTAATATAAGGACATTTATAGTAACATTATTTGTTATATTTGTTTATTTTTTCATAGGTAAATGCACCACTTCCAAGTTACATACAAATCCAACTTTACTTTCTCTTTTTCACTGACTGAACTATTTTTTTATAAAGTGTCAGGAACTACCTAACAGAGACACTTCTGAATTGTGTAATCTATAAATAACATTCTTTAAATTGTCTTGAATAAACATCTAAAAACCTGGAAATATGCAGGAGTATTAGATAAATGCCAATTATGAGATGTATAAAGTGAGTCCCATTTTTCTAAATAAAATATTTTGTAGAAAGAGGCTGAAAAGACATATTTATTTATTTATTTATTTTGAGACAGAGTCTCACTTTGTCACCCTTGGTAGAGTGCTGTGACATCACAGCTCACAGCAACCTCAGTCTCTTGGGCTCAAGGGATTCTCTTGCCTCAGCCTCCCGAGTAGCTGGGACTATAGGTGCCTGCCACAACACCTGGCTGTTTTTAGAGAGAAGGCTATTTTTGGAGATGAAGTCTTGCTTTTACTCAGGTTGGTCTCAAACCGGTGAGCTCAGGCAATCCACTTGCCTCGGCCTCCCAAGTGCTGGGATTACAGGCATGGGCCACGGCTGGGCTTCTGGTTAAAAGATATATTTAGACACATTAACTTTGAGGTAGAATATTCTCTTCCTCCTCCCATATGTCTCAATATATTATACACCTGAATCATTTTAAATTACAGAAAGTAAAAGAAAATCTTTGAAATGGTTTTGCTCTTGAGAAAACCAGATCTTCCAGAATGGGTTTAAATTTCT